TGTACATTATACTTTTTCTTTAATAATAAATTCCAAATTCATAAGTAGTCTCTGATAGTAAATATATATATATTTTTTTTAATTTTTACTGTTTTGTGGGTCTTTTAATTAAAAATTATACCTAAAATGAGTTCGGCCAGGCCCACAGTAAAGTGGCTGGATCGTGAAAGACGGGATCCGACATATCTGTCCATGTAAATTTTCTAAGGGCTGTTCATCCAGATTTGATCTCGGATCCCTCAGAGCGGCAGGCTAATTCTTTAATATTATATCTCGGCCATCCGCCCGTCCCTAAAAATAAATGTTTATAAATATTTTATCTCATAATTAACACTTTATTTATGAAAAATTTAACTTAAAATTAAATTATTTCATTTATTTTTTTGTTTTATGATTTAGTGAACATAATTACTTTATAAATTCGCCAGATAAATAGGCCGCAGGATAATGTAGCAACCCATTTTTTTAACAGTCGCTGTCCTGCGGGCAATAAGAGAGTCTCTTTTTTGCATGCTCAAAATAAAGCGGCTGGGTGGTGAGGGACGGGGCCCGACATATCCGGACAGACCATTCCGAACAATTCCTGTTATTTATTTGACCTGTTCGGATTCGCCTGAGCGGCCGACTACCACCTTGACTGCTCGGCCAAGAGGATTTTTTAAACAAGCCCATTATGGGTTCGGTTAGGCCAGTGTTTTCAACCTGTGGGTCGCGACCCCCAGGGGGGTCGCAAAGCCTTACACGGGGGATGGCGGGTGAAAAGACAGGTGTTTTTAGGTCCTACACTACAATAAAAAAAAACTATAATTTTAGTGAGAAGGCTGTGTCTGTTTATTTTACAGTACAATTGGGTTTTCGATCGATATTTAGGCCTCAACAGAAAGAAAATTAAATACGTAGTTTTTAAAATCACTAATATAGTTTTACTATGGCCCTGGAGATCGCCAGAATTTTTTAACTTGTAAAGGGGTCGCGTATTCAAGAAGGTTGAAAAACAATGGGTTAGGCCAACAATAGGACGGCGGATGGCTGAGCAGTCAAGATGGCAGCCTACTGCTCTGGGAGACTCGGGAACAAATCCGGAAGGGTCAAGAAATCCCCAGGAATTTTTCGGGGGTGCAGTGGCGTACCGTGGGTGTCAGCCGCCCGGGCGGAGGAAAATTTCGCTCCCCCCTTATTTAGGTATTTCAATTTAGAAGACTAAAATTCAGTTTCGTCACAAGCAATGAAAAATTCCGTGCTATTGCAGCGACCTGTTTAAAATAGCTCTAATGGATATTAGTGGTGTATATGAACGCGAATGAATCGTACAAGCAAAAAAA